CCCGGGCCTAGCCCCCTACAGTGCACACGCGTTTTACAGTGCACACGCGTTTACAGTGCACACGCGTTTACAGTGTACACGCGTTTACAGTACACGCGTTTACAGTACACGCGTTTACAGTTACACGCGTTTACAGTACACGCGTTTACAGTGCACACGCGTTTACAGTGCACACGCGTTTACAGTGCACACGCGTTTACAGTGCACGCGTTTACAGTACACGCGTTTACAGTACACGCGTTTACAGTACCCGCGTTTACATTTCGATCCTTAAAATCTATGGTTAGAACGAAGTTGAATTTCGAGTAGTGGGACGATAACGTTAGGCCGCAAAATCCATCGTAAGAACGATGTTGAAGTTCGAGTTGTGGATCGATAAGGTTAGGCCGCGAAGTTCAATAACTCCAACGCGCGTTTACAGTACACGCGTTTACAGTACAAGCGTTTACAGTAGTGGCTTTGTCGACAATCTCAGCGCTACTACAACAGCTCGTATCGCCGAATTACAACACAATCTGAGACAAAATCGCCTAATTTCTATCACAAATAACAATTGTCATGACACAAACTTTTCATAACTGTTTTTGTAGGAGGAGGAGGCGTAGTTTTGGGGTGATTTTGGCGGGCTTGGTCGCAAAAGTTGCCGGGCGGTTGTTAGGAGGGAGCCGGTGTTGCTCCGCGTAAACTTCGGCGTTCAGCGGTACATTTTTAGGTCATTTTACAATCATAGCTTAAAAGATGGCTACTTTCCTCAACCCTGCAGAATATCGTGGGGCTAGAGCGGTTCATCCAGCCCGCTAGAATCCAACCGGCACGGCAAGGCAGGCCCGAGAATACGCCGATCCGTACCGACCCGTTGGCCGGTCAGATTGACGCTTGCAGGCCGAGTACCAACCGGCCTAGCCCCCGGGTCTGGCCCTGGTACTGACTGGCACTTCTAGGGTCCCCTCCTCTGCTTTATCACGGTTAAAGCCACAAACATCGCCCGGTAGCTACTGGACTAATAAAACACTGAGATTCCCCCTCTCCTAGGCTGCAAGGCCGCGACGACAGTCCAACGGTCTCAGATACGCCGCACCGCATGTACACGCGTTTACAGTTTACAGTACACGCGTTTACAGTACACGCGTTTACAGTACACGCGTTTACAGTACACGCGTTTACAGTACACGCGTTTACAGTACACGCGTTTACAGTACACGCGTTTACAGTACACGCGTTTACAGTGCACACGCGTTTACAGTGCACACGCGTTTACAGTACACGCGTTTACAGTACACGCGTTTACAGTACACGCGTTTACAGTACACGCGTTTATACACCATGGCCGGTAGATTGGCGCTAGCTGGCCGAGTACGAACCGGCCTAGCCCCGGCCTCGCTTAAGATCTGCCTAACTCTGTGACCGCCCCAACGGTGTCCCTAAAGTTTTGCCTAACTCTGTGACCGCACCAACGGTACATGTTGCAGTTCTGGCTAATATCGCTATGGCGCTGTGAGAGACCGTAGGATGGTCAAGGAAGGTCTCATAGCCTGCATGTTTTATGCCTAATGACAAGCAAAGATCTCATAGGCTGCGTGTTTTATGCCTGATGAGAAGACAAGACCTCACAGGCTGCGTGTTTTATGCCTGATGAGAAGACAAGATCTCATAGGCTGCATGATTTATGCCTGATGAGAAGACATAGGCTGCGTCCTCAGTGCCTGATGAGAAGACAAGACCTCACAGGCTGCGTGTTTTATGCCTGATGAGAAGACAAGATCTCATAGGCTGAGTGGTTTATGCCTGATGAGAAGATAAGACCTCATAGGCTGCATGATTTATGCCTGATGAGAAGACAGGACCTCATAGGCTGTGTGTTTATGCCTGATGAGAAGACAGGACCTCATAGGCTGCATGATTTATGACTGATGAGAAGACAAGACCTCATACCCGGCATGTTTTATGCCTGATCAGAAGACAAGACCTCATAGGCTGCATGATTTATGCCTGATGAGAAGACAAGACCTCACAGGCTGCGTCCTCTATGCCTGATGAGAAGACAAGACCTTATAGGCTGCATGGTTTATGCCTGATGAGAAGACAAGACCTCATAGGTTGCATGATTTATGCCTGATGAGAAGACAAGACCTCATAAACTGCATGATTTATGTCTGATGAGAAGACAAGATCTCATAGGCTGCATGATTTATGCCTGATGAGAAGACAAGACCTCATAGGCTGCATGATTTATGCCTGATGAGAAGACAAGACCTCATAAACTGCATGATTTATGTCTGATGAGAAGACAAGACCTCATAGGCTGTATGATTTATGCTTGATGAGAAGACAAGACCTCATAGGCTGCATGTTTTATGCCTGATGACATGACCTCATGGGTTTCAATATAAAAAAAAATGAATCTTGCAACATTGTCGCCCAGCATTGCGGCTTATAAGACTGCATAAGACTGTACAGAAACCACACACTATGTTGAAAGGTTACAGAGTAGAAAGTGAACGAACATATATTAAAGTCAAAGTCATTTTTGCACGACATTCAGGCCCCAGGGCACGTCTATCTGGGACATGGCAGTCACGTGACAGGTCGTCCGTCCCGCGCCAAAACACAGCACAAAAAGGACCCACAAAGACTACAACAAACCTTCTAGATTAAGGTTTTTAGTACTAGTAATTCAATGTCGTGCGATTTCTCATTGTTTGCGTACAGGATTCCTCGCGGAGGGAGCGGAAGTGTTCCTTGAACATACGGAGGAGATGCCGATTTCTGCCGAAGACTACTGGTCAGGGTTCCAGGACTTCGTGCAGCTTCAGCTCTATATGGAAGGACATGAGGGAGTCAAGGTGTTGAAAGGCAAGTGCTTAGTATTTTTTGGCGACGCCTCAGAGGCAGATGCATTTTTACAGTATATTACGATCGATCTGAAAGAAATTAGAAAATTCCACTTATGCATTCCCTTGGGAATTGCTTTTGAGGTAGCCCTCGGCCATGTGGTCTTTGGACAGAGTAGCAAAACGCCTTTGTTGCTATGCAATTTCAAAGATATTAATCTGTAACGGCTATCATATCAAAATGTATTCCAAAGACACCCTACTTTTAAAAAATTATAATGAAAATTTGCCACCTCAGGTGGCACCGATATCTGTTTTGGCCCATGTACGAGTACTATCAGTGTGATAAATGTGTGCCAGGGGCTTGATATTTGTTTTAGTTTGTTTATTCGTATTCGATCTCCATTAGTTTGTACAGACTGAGAGTATCTAGTATACATACTAGTCTTCCTGGAGTCGTAATACACATAAACACTACTAAACCCAAACTACACATTAAAGGCTAAATAAACGAGCTTAACTACAACATGGTAACTACAATTACATACTACATACTACATACTTTTTCCGCAGGTAATGGGGAGGTGGGCACGGTAGTTTCTTTCTACTACGACCCGACGGACCTGGCCGAGGGGCAGCGGGAGATGAAGCTGGTGGAGAAGGACGATTCCACTCGCACATGGAGGGTCCAGGAGGCGGAGCCGAACACCCTGTACAAGAGCTACGAGATGACCATCAAGGTGCTTCTATGTCTCTGATAGAAAGTTAGATTGTAGTCATGAGTGATGATTAACGTTATTGAGTGGGTCTTTTAATGAAGCCTCCATGATGACACTACCATGTTAGACTGACACGGATTTTATTTAGTCTGATTATTCAATCTTTTTGTTTCACAGAAAAATAACACTACAATATATAACAAATATACACATATTACTTCTCAAGAACATGTCACACATCTTAACTCGCGCACTAGTACTGTCAGCTTATCGCTACATTGAAGATTAACGTTGATTTAGTTGAACGTTAGGAGTCTACCTGTGACATTAACCTACATTATCATATAGCCGGGCGACGTCGACCAATGAGAAGCCTCCATTTCCCATCGGTTATCAGGCCGCTACGCTCACTCGGTGGTTTATTCGGTGGTTGTCGCACCTGACCAGGGAATATCTCACAATATACACCTCGGAACGGGGAATTAGCCCTTTATTAGTTGCCTAACGGTACCGTGACTTTCACTCAGGTTACGGGGACCACTAACGCAAGCGTGACGGTCTCAGCTCGCTTCGTCTCGGCCATCAAGAATGACGAGGAACGCCGAGACGACATCGCATATCACAAGGTTAGTAGTGTTTGCAATCACTTGACTGTGGCGCAGAGGAGGCAGCAGGCGTATCCCACAATACATTGCGGTTCCGGAACGTTTACCTTGTTACTACCCACTAAGACGAGTGGGCCGCCATTTTGTAGACTTGAACGTATACAATTTCAAGCAATGCTTTTCAAAAATTATTACTACATGTATAAGGTGTGACAGCATGTGGTTACTATGTACATGTATTTGTATACATTACACAATAATTTCACAAGGTACAGGGTATGGCATCTCGTACATTTTAACTACAGTTCCAAAAGGCTAATCTACATTTTAAATATATTTTCTTATTAAAGGTGGGGATGTCACATAACACCATGTGCTTATTTGCTGAATTTACTATTACAATCCATTGGGATGAATTGTAAAAATGTAGATGATAGCCTTGTGTATAATTGCTTGCGTCTTGTCTAGGTGCACCTTCTTGGAGCCACTCTTAGAGACGTCCTGAACTTCGTGGTCGCGGAGAAGCTCGGCCGGAAGTATCAGGTCGACCAGGAAGTGGACATTTCTCGCGAGAAGTTGTGGTGCATTATGGGTAACTTCAATGACGTCACCTGGATTCCCAACGCAAAATGTGAGTCACAAGAAACTCTTTCTTTAGAATCTGATATTCCCGTAAATAAGAATACAAAATTATCTGGTACTTACAATACTACGTCCGTTATGATTTCTAAACAAACTGATAAAGTGGTTATTTTTTTATGTTTATTTATGACTCTATTTATTCAGCTTGTTTCCTGTTCTCGACTATATAATTGCGTCTGTTTGAAAGCTCTGGGTGAGAACATTTCTCTCTTGTGTTGGAACAACAGTTTTAATTTTAAGGCATGCACAGATCTGTCAGATGAACTTTCATTAAAGAGCTTAAACATTATCATGAAAGTTCATCTGTGTTGGTAGTTACATATTTAGAGTTTAAACACTGGGTCAAAGGTATCTGGTATACGGTAGACGATATGTACAAGACTTTTTTGAGAGTGGTGAAGGATCTAGGAGGCCATATACATCAGGGCCCATCACCCTTCATTGTACCGCGACGGGGACCGACATCGTCTACCAGATACCTTTGACCCAGTGTTGACGTCACACTTCAAAGAAGCCAGTGGCAAGCTTCACTGGGTCAGTCCACTGAGGAAGACCAGAGTGACTGATCGAAAGCTCTAGGTGAGAGAACTTTTTGTGTTTTAACTCTAAACACTGAACTTTAAACATGTCTGCATCGTGTTTATTCTCAGACGCGCAGGTTAACGGAGTCAGCAGGCAGATTATGTTTCCCCGGGACTCGACGTGCCATGAGGGAGAGCGCACTCTGGATGTCCGCCTGGTCTGGTACGACTCCAGCGATTACCTGCTAGTGTTGGAGTACACCGGCGCCATGCTGGTCACGAAGTTCTACAGGGAGAAGGTAAATCTTGACTTATGTCTGGGCTTAAGAAGCACTTTATTGTCCTGATCGATGATTTGTTATGATTTGAATCATTATGATTATTTTCATTATCAACGATTTGTTACGATACAAAATATTGTTATGATTATTATCATGATCAGTGATTTGTTATGATTTGAATTATTGTGTGAGGGATGGTTCACTGCATTGTATGTATGTTGTTGTGATATATGAAAAAAAGCAGCACTATAAAGCAACCTGCTTGAAGTTTGCATTTGGTTTTCATTATCTTCAAGTTCACAGACCTGTGAATAGTGTTGGGTGGGCGGGGGTGGAGTCGTGAATGTATGGGAACTGTACATGTGAAGAGGATTAGTATGATGTAATTTCGTCGGGTAGTACATAACTTACTGAATTTCATCACCTATACTCTCATCTTGGGCCACAATCAGTCTTGTTTGAAAGATCAAATGTAGTTCGTCCTGTGGCCTTTTTGGGGCTTCTGCACTTTTACTTTAGTAAGTCGTGTGTATCAGTTTAAATCTTTCCTGTTACAACATCAATCATGTTTAGGATCGCATTCTCCTCCGCTCTGCGTCATCAAGAGATGATAAGTATAGGCCCATTTTTAAAGCGTTAATGTAGTGTTTTATTCATTGTCTCATCGACTAGTAAGCATAGAACATCACTGCAAGTCCTTAAGCAATGGCAGATAGTGAACGATAGTTTCCGTGATATCTACTGACAGAAAATTTATTAACCTCCCAGATGCAACTGTTCGCCGTTGGCGCGAACAGGACCAGAGTGGCGTACGAATGTATCGTCTTACCGGCGAAGGACGAGCCTGCGGAGGGGTTTGACAAGTGGCTCATTCCTGCCATCAGTAACCGAGTCACGAACCTCAAGGTAGGAACCAACGTGGAGGTCGTGGGGTCGTGTGGCGTAGAGGCAGATTGCGCGACTCGGAACTAAGAGTCCCGGGTTCGAGTCCTGACATGCCACCGATCTTGTGTCCTTTACACGGCTTTCCTCACTTAGCTCAGGTGTATATGAGTATTGTCCTGTAATGTATTTGTCCCCTGTGTTGGTGGCGGCATTAATATAAGTTGAGTGTGTCGTCACCACGTCTGGTGATTACATGTTGGAATAAATAAAAAAAAAAGGTAGGAACCAACGTTTCGATGACCGTCTGGCATATTCATGAGGGCAATCATGAAGATGTTGTAACAATAGTGAGTGAGTGAGTGTGTGAGTGAAGGAGGGTGGGAGGGAGTGAAGAAGGGAATGAATGGGTGAGTGTTTGTGTATGTCACAATTGTTAGCAGTAAACCTATAGTGCACAGTTAACCAACCATAGCCTATGTCACATAGCTGCCCTGATGAAGAGTACAGACTGTATGACATCAGGTACATGAATGTGAAAGTGTCCTGCTTTAACACTTCCTGGCATCTCTTATCTAATTGTAATTTTGATATACTATGTATTCCGCACAGCGAATGTTCGAGGATGAAGAAGATGAAGAAGACCATGGGGACCAATGTGCACCGCCCTCGGGCCCTCCGGTGTTCCCCAGGGGTGCGTACTCGACCGTAGCCCGGGGCACGGTCCACGCTCCTGTCAAGGAGGTTTGGAGCGCCTTCAGGCCGTTCGGAAAGGTACAGTTTTCTACTCGCCAAGTAAATTCTTTCGGGCAATGGAAGTCTATATTGGCCGCCCTCCTGTAACCACTCCCCTTGCCCCACAAAATCTGCTTGGAGATTAACAGTTTCTACTTTCGTCAGAAAATATGTTTCCAGTGCCTGCCTAGGGACTGGTTTTGTAATTTTCATTGGCATGATAACTGGTAAAAAGGCTTATGGTATATATACATATATATATATATATATATATATATATATATATATATATATATATATATATATATATATATATATATATATATATATATATATATATATATATATATATATATATATATATATATATATATATATATATATATATATATATATATATATATATATATATATATATATATATATATATATATATATATATATATATATATATATATATATATATATATATATATATATATATATATATATATATATATATATATATATATATATATATATATATATATATATAGGGATTGTTATATATCACGGTGTGCATGTTGATATCAACATGTAGGAAAAGGTGTTTCCGAACAACTGCCGAGACTTAGTAAAGCTCATAAGATTGAAAGACATGATGCCGAATGTAGTTTCCGCAACAACAGCAGTGACCACTGTGGTTGAAGGATTTGCAGGTAAAAAGCTGACCCCCAAAGGAAGGGCTTGTGTACATTGATTACTGGAGTCAGAGAATATAGCAGGCTGAAGTGGTTAAGTAGAAGCAGAACTACTAGCGATTGATCCCAACTTAGGCAACTATCTTTTCTCATTTGATTTTTTTGTATGTTAAGGCCTGCCTGGAGTACTGGAAGATCTATGAGAGCATGCAGATCGAGGGCCCCGGTAAGGACTGTGTTGGCTGTGTGCGGAGCTTCGTCACGTCCAAAACCGGATCGCACATCAAGGAGCGTCTGGAGTGGAGGGACGATGTCAACCATGTGGAGGTGGGACATGCTCAGACGTTTATATTCAACTTCTTTACATAGCAAAGTACTACCTGCTGCCTAAATGCTTAGGCCAGAACTGGCCCCTTGCTCCTCTTCATAGCAAAGTAAATAGCGGGCAAAACAAACAGGGTCAATCTTTTAGCGATACTTTGCAATAAGCTCATACAATCGTCAGAGTAGCGCTTGTTTCCGGATTAAAGACAATGACAACATTGTCATCGCTGAATATTATTTGATAGTATATAGTTAGCTATAGACTAGTGCGTATCACATACTAATGGACTTGCGATGTTCATAGAAAATACAAACTCTACACTACTACTACTTGGTACAATACAAAGATTTCTTTCGGACATTTTAAGTGACAACCAACACTCTTCTAATGAGCTAAAAGAACTAATCAAAACGTTTAGACGAAGACGTCCGGACGTAATTTCAGTATTTCATTCAGTAGTAGAGGTTGTATTTTCAATGAGTATTGTAGGTCGAACCAACGGTTCTGTGATATGTTGTGATATATGCAGATCTACAGCTTGCTGTCCATGACTCCTCCTCCACCGGTTGCCATGAGCAACGTCTACACCACCATCACCATGACTGCAGGTACGTCATGTGACTGTTACCATGGCATCAGTCACATGGCTGTTACCAGGGTAGCTCCAAGTCACTGACAATTTAGCTCATGTTTTGAATAACATGCTTTGTGATTTTCTTCATATGCAAGAATATCATAAAACATAACAGGACGTTTTGGGGTTTTTTCGTAGTTGGTGAGAAGGAGACTGAAGTGAAGTTCGAGTGTACCTTTGACGTCAGCGTGTCGTTTGCGGTGTCCCGTATCCAAGACAACCAGAAGGCGGCCTACATGGCGTGCATCACCGGGCTGCAGCAGCTCTTCCACTCCGAGGTCGGGACGCTAGAGGTCGTTGTTGGGAGCGCCGCTGATCTGGCACGCACTGACGGCTGGTGTAAGTACCTAGATATATTGTTTTGTAGAAAAAATATGTTCTATTGGGCAATTAATGCGTTCTCATATCTTGTGTGAGCATAACCATTAACCTGGTCTTAAACAGAACGGTTTTTGGCGACCCTTCAGGAGGAGCCTATGGCACAGTATTGTGTGCAGTTTGCAAGAATTCTAGGAATTGCACAAACATATTATCGAGGGGTATATGGAATGTCCACATATCATAGTAGACCACAACGAGGCTACCTCAAAATCATAAAATGATGGCAGTGCCATGCACACAATAACCCTAACATCAACCACCGTCGCCATGGCAATGTATGTTTTCATTGTCAGTTTTTTTTATAAAAATGATGGGTTTCGTAATATTCACTTGACTTTTCCTTCCTTTTTCCTGATTGTCAAAAAGTTTTTACTCCGTTCTAATATACTTTTTTTTATTTTCTACAAGTTGATGCTGACCCATATGTTGTACTCGCACTGAATGGTGGGAAGCCATTCACGACCAGGGTCTGCAATGGTACCCAGAATCCTGTTTGGGACGAGCGTTTCGCCATGTCTGTGACGCCACGTTCCCGAAGTGTCGTCTTCACTGTCATGTAAGTCATAAACCGCATCGTATCAAAGAAATGTATTTGTTATATGCATCAAATGCAATTTCAGTGTGACGAAACGAAAAAAAAATATTGCGGATGAGGAGATCTGTGTGATACTGGCATGACCTGAGCCTTGACACTATTGCTGGGCTGGCTGCAGACTGTCTGCCGTGGACTAGACTTGTGATCGACTAATGATAATGATTTACATTTACTGATATATTATCACATTTTCTTCATCATTGCATACTTGAAGCATTTGATATAGCCCCCTCTCTTCAAAAAGTGTCTCAGAATAGAGTTTCTTTTTATACCACCCATAAATACCTATAGCTAGAACCAGCCTACGATACTCCTGTCCAAATATGATGCAATAAAAGCAAGTGACTTCCTTCAACGACATCGCATTTTGCCTCACAGATATCAGTACGCTATGAAATAGGACTTCGATACAGTAAAAAATGGCCATAAAATGGACTTTGAAAATTTTTGTTTTCGCCTTGAATTTTCACCGGATACCTTTATAAGGACTTTCCCATATATATTCCCATATTCTGGTCATGAAGAAGAATCAATCTGTCTGACACTCCACCTCCACTGTCTACACTACAGGGACCGAGACACGGTCGGACAGGACGACATCATGGGGACAGCTAACGTCAACCTGGACGAGCTGACGTCAGGTCAGGAGAAGAGGATGACTCTGGACGTGCAGGGAGGAGGGACGCTGAACGTCCGGCTGTTACTCAAGATGCACGACAAGCCGAAGGACCAGGAGGACGAGGGCGACAAACTCATCCGGTCAATCGCCCTCCCGTTCCTGGCTCCCGTCGCCCAGAGCGAACTGGACGCCATCAAAAAGGAGTTTACCAACCTCATCATGTCATTTGTTGGCCCAGGTATTCTTTGTAACCTGGATCGAGGTCCTGAGTTCTAACCCCAGCCGGGTCATATGAAATTTGACGTACATTCTGTTTTCTGTTTTCTCTTAGCACTTAGTATCTATGAGAAAGAGTATGGGAAACACAACACTACCAGCAGGCTAGCCCTTGCTTGCAGAACTGTGTGGCCCTAAACTCCTCTAAATTAAAAGGTACATTTGACTTTGAAAGGAAGTTAGGAACGGGGACAGTTTGCAAACGTCTTTTTTTCTCAACACTCCACAGGCCAGAAGTACGAGCTGAGCTACATGACCCGTCTGCGGACCCATCCCGACGTCCCGCTGGAGGAATACCCGGCCGCCTGTGTTCCCATGCCGACTGGAGAGATGTTCACTCCGCTTAAAGCCGGGCGGCTCATGCAGCGCCTCATGGAGTTCATCAGCTCACAGGCAAGTGTACATTATTTCGCCGGAAACTCCCTTGCAGTTCCAGGCAAGCTGCTAGGGGACCACATCCGCACCACATTTTAGACATCATCGTGAACATGAAATTAAAATGTATATAATGCCAGACATCAATTCCATTGCATTCATTGCAGGGCCAGATCATGGTCCGCCTGGCGCAAGCCAAGGGCATCTGGGATCCGTGGAAGGCCAACTTCAGCGGCTACCTGCCTGCTAACGAGAGGCTGATAGAAGAGTGGCAGAAAGACGAGGAGTTCTGCCGCCAGTATCTCCAGGGTTCGTTTGCAACATTGTACTGTTAATGTTACTATCAGAAAAAAGAAGAGACATAGCTATGCCTTCTTTGTTCACATAGTTGATTACTCAACATTTTGTATTGTTGTTATGTAGAAAAATGCGTCATTGTTTTATCCATCGATGGGTAGGAGCATATTTCGTAGTTGTTATATAAGGATCTGATTTAGTACAAAATAATATTACATGGAAAAGAAATATCAGTATACTTATACTAACAGTTTGCGTAGACCGTAAGCAACCTACGCATGCCAAAAACTTGAAATTGTGTCCCAATCAAAATAACATTGGTACATTTAGGTAACAAACTATTGTTGTCTATGATTCGTATGCAATATGCTCATTGTCCAAGTAAATCATGATTATTTAGAGTTAGATGTTTTGATCCAACAAAAAGAATTTCTCTCACCTAGAGCTTATTTAGATCAGTCACTCTGGTCTTCCTAGATCCTCAGTAGACTGGCCCAGTAAGGCTTGTCGCTTCTTTGAGGTGTGACGCCAGCACTGGGTCAAATGTGAAAGCTCTAGGTGGGAGACATTCTTTGTGTTGGAGCAAAAGGTTTAATTCTAAACATGTAACCACCAACACAGATGAACTTTCATGATAGTAAATCATAATAATTATTTTATTTCATTCGACATCAGGCATCAACCCCATGCTGGTGACCGTGTGCAAGGACCAGAGTCAGATCCCAGCCGAAATGCTCGGTCTGAAAGGACAGGGCAAGACCACGCTGGAACTCATGGCCGAGAACAGGCTGTTCATCGTGGACTACGCACCCATGCTCGGTGTTCCTGCTGTTCCGGGGAAGTTCATCTACGCGCCGATTGTACTGATGTACAAGGAGGAGCTGGATGGATCAAAGTCTCGTCTGAACATGCTGGGCATCCAGTTGACCAGGGACAAGGGTAAGGCATATGAAAGAAACATGCTTCTTTACTCCTTTAGCTTTTCCACATTGCAACTTTCATTTCTGTACTGTACGAATCGTCTCAAAAGCCTTCATGTCCCATATCACATTGTTGGACAGTTGGTGCCCTGAGCGCGTGGCGACAGACTGAAACCACGCTGTGACAGGGACCAGAGACCCGGCAGCTAATTACCCGCTGTGATCCCCGGGGGTTCCACAGACCCACTATGAGAGGCCCAAAATGTACATTTTCTGTTTGAAAATAGCCAAAAAGTCCCGTTTTCCACGGGTTTAGGTAGTGCATACCAAATATGTGAATAACTTTCTGTGTGCCTGTGTCAAAGGCTCCCCTATACCAAATTTCAGGTCATTTGGGTTTCGTCTTAGTGCAGAGGGGCCAAAAATGTACATTTTGGGTCAAAAGTAGCAAAAAGTCCCATTTTACATAATTTAATAGTGACACATGCCAAAAGCATGAGTAACGTTTGTGTGCATGTGTCCTTCATTATTGTTGTAGGTAACAACGAAGTGTACTCTCCTGAAAGTGCGAAGACCCATCCCAACAAGTACATGTTCGCCAAGATGCACGTTCAGTCGGCTGACAACAACGTACACCAGTTCCTGTACCATCTGGGCTACACTCATCTCGGTATGGAGCCGCTGGTGGTCGCCATGTACACCCACCTGCCCCCGGACCACCCCGTCCACCGCCTGCTGCTGCCGCACTTCAAGGACACCATCGGCATCAACTACCTGGCGCGCCACTCGCTCGTCTCCCGCATCTTCCCCATCACCGACCCGATGTTCGCAACTTCCACCGTGGGAGGGCTCGTCATGTTCCTCAAGGAGTGGCGCAAGTACAACTTCATGGACATGGCGTGAGTTTTGAAATCGTTTACACTGAATTCCTATGTACAGCCCTTGAAACTGTCACTTAGTGGCCTGGGTACCATCCTGTTTGTATGCCGGGGCTCCCGTTCCCCCCACCCTAAGAAAGATTTCTTGGGGGGGGGGTATGGGAGCCCCAGCATACAAATAGGATGGTACCCAGGCTAGTCACTCAGAAGAAGCTCGACACATATACTATGCTGCTTTTTGACATTGTATTCATTGAGTTACACCCTTTAGCCTGATGGCTAGTCTTGAAGGGTCCAGATTACACAGAATAAAACACACACAAACGAAATGTCACTTGTGACATTGTACATTTTGTCCTATTGTTACGAAGTTTAAAGCTATATCTCATTTGTTTCAACAAGTTTCCCAGAAGAGCTGAAACGCCGTGGTTTTGATGAGGCCGGGACTGACGGACTGAAAGACTACTTCTACCGGGATGACGGCTTCAAACTGTGGAACATCTACAAGAGTTACGTGACTGGGATGGTCAACCATGCCTACGCCGACGATCAAGCTGTGCAAGCTGACAAAGGTTCGACATTAAACACTTCAACAATCTGAACATAATTGACATTTTTTCCCTTTTCCTTTGGCCTACATTGGATGAAATTGACTAATATAAGACGAATGTCTCGAAAAAAGTCACCGTGTAACATTCTAGATGCCAAGTACTTTCTGTTCAATCAGACATGGTCAAAAGTCAACCCCATTGATGAATCGGGACGAGGGGGGATACAAACTAGATCACGTTTGGGATTGTATTCTCGCCGCAAAAGCTCCACCTACTTTGGCTGCGATTAGAAGCAGTACTCCAGTCAGAAGCTCTGATGAAGGTATCTGGTAGCCATCGAAACGTTAACAAGGTGACAGTACAAAGTACTACTTGTGTGTAAGAAAATCCCATTTTTATGTAGCCCTGCAGGAATTCTGCAAGATGACTGCAGGTCCCGGTCAGCTTCGCGGATTTCCTCGCGAGATTTCCGACAAGAAGCTGCTGATCGACTGCCTGACCAACATCATCTTCAACGTGAGCGCGCAGCACTCCGCCATCAACTTCCCGCAGTATGACTACTACTCCTTCGTGCCCAACAGGTGAGAACGTTACCTGTCATTTTCGTAGCCTGGTACCAGTCTATCGTGGTTGAGGCAGGCTGTCCTCGGGGCTCGAATAGTTTTCCCCCGTCCAGCTGAACAGGCCACTCCGGTAGGAGTGTTACGCCTGTAGGAGCTTTGCTAATAGAGTTTTGTAGGCCAAGTGTTGATCGAGGTGGAGCTAATTGAGCTCCCGTCTTGCAAAATCTACCGGGGAACCTAGCTGAGTCGGGCGGCGAAGAGCTCCTCCAGTCCCGAAGAGAACCTGTCTCTACCACGATGGACTAGACACCAGGCTATCATATTCAAGCCATGACACAATCAAGGAAGCTAAATTCTAAACGATCTAGGGCTAGATTCCTCAGGCAAAACAAATATTTATTGACCGCAATTATTCTTTGCAACGTTCGGGTAAATATGAATTCTAAGGATGGATACCTCAAAAAGATGACTACACTACAACAGACTGTCATTTACACTCGGTGTTTTCAACTGTTCCCCAAGGCCGGCCCAACTGTCGATGGCGATGCCTGACGGACCGAACGACATGCTGCAGTCCGCTGTTCTCGAGGCCCTGCCGCCTCCACATTTCACGGCTCTTCAGGTTCTCCTGTCCTACATGCTGTCCATGCCGTCACAGACTGCTATCACTGGGGTAAGATTGTAAATTAATAAGATATTTGATAATAAGGTTCATTGCATATAAAATATTTATCAACAAATCACCGCAAAATTCGCTTTCCTAGTCTAGCCACATGCAAAATGCTAATGTCCATATTAGGGATATAACGATTGAAAGAATTTAACAATTTGTTAACACATTTCATGAGGACACTACGATTTGTTGCAGATATAAGTGATAAGTGTCCAATGCTCTTTTCGTTTGATCTTTCACATGCCTTGGCGTTGAATGCAACTTTTACGTCGTACATTAATATTAATGTAATCTAGGCTGCTTTATGTTTACAGACAATCATTTTTTTGTGAAAATTGTCCATTTACTGTTTTGTTATTTGCTTTTTTGTTACTTGATGCTGTTTTGTTGTTATAATTTGCCATTGTATGTACTCTCTCTTCTTTGTCGGTGGTAGAGCTAAGATTAGCAATCTGCTAGAGTTAACCATTACTATGTTCTGTCCTAGGGTTCTATGTTGCTAAATAAAAAATAAAAATCAATTTTTGTGTCATGTAAAGGTTGAGGCCATGAAGGAGTTGTACCCCGAGGTCCATAAGAAGTTCAACACGCAGCTCAAGGAACTCTCCAAGGAGATCCAGACTCGTAACGAAGGCCTGAAGACGGAAGGGAAGGCCGCCTACACCTACCTGGACCCTGAGAACGTCGCTATGAGCATCGATATCTAAAGGGTTCCTCCCAGCTGACCAACAGATAGTACAGCGAGAGAGAATAAGAACGAGAAATATAGCTTACGTTATTATGTTATCAACAAAAAAGTGGTGTTTTAATGAAGGTAGAAAACCGAAACAAAACTTAGCGATGGGATCTTCATAGACATTGTGATATGCATGTTGAAATATTTAAAGTATTCAAGATATATAGCACGCAATGATATTGCCTGGTGATGTATTATGATATTGGTCAATAATACTAAATCGAACTGCAATTATGATTGCTAAATGTTTGGCACATAACAGCTTGCCATCTTGGAGTAGAATAGCTTCTTTTTCTTACATTTACAAAACTTCAACATTTTTGTTGTACTCTTTGCCTTGGAATCAATAAACTGGTGTGGAAATAAAATTGGTTGGTCGTTTTTTTTGTTGTATTTCCATGGCGATTAAAGAGGCATCAGTAAGCTTTGTTTGGCGAGGACACAATCCCAAACATGGGTGAGTTTACAAACAGATACAAAATCAGCTATATTTGAGATTGTAATCAGCACAAAAGTGACACCTACATCGACTACAAACAGAAGCAGAAAACTAGTCGGAAACTGAGGAAGGTGTCTGATAGACATCGAAACGTATGTACGTAAGGACGGTGAGAGAATACTGGTTTTGCAAAAAGAAAATCCCAATATTTGAGTATTTAAATGGTGTGGAAAATATAAGTCACTATGCACCCGTAGACTACATGTAGATGCTAAGCCTGAATTGTCATATAGGATCAACGACATTAAAGTTTTGAAAAGTCCCCCATACCTTAGCTATTGCATTTGTTACCCATCGCTACCTTTGAAATATAATACCCTCAGACCATATTAAGACCATCGTTGCCACACTCGTGACTTAAGACTCCCATAGACCTAAAGTAATAAAGATTCCTATAGACCTAAAGTAATGGAAGTTCGCAACAAGAAAGAGTGTTAATGTTCATATGCAATTCTTTATTCTTTCAAAGCCATGTTGCAACTTGAAAACGTGCATTAAATCGATATACAAGACCATGGTATTTCTGCTGCACTTAATATATGTAACATCAGTTTGAAACTGCACATGGACAAAGTACGACCATACAAGTAGCTACTGTAGAGTATTAAATATTTCTACATGAAAATGGGCCAAATATTGTCAGCTGAGTCTCCCATCGGTCGTCATAGTATTTCACGAGTGCCTAGTATTATATTTTGTTCTTTCTGCTTATTGCTATATAAATATCTGTATTTGCTTATTAGTCGTGGACAAATAGAATACTATTCATTTGACTGGCGGCAGCATTAGTAGTTCAAAAATCATGACCGCGATACACTATAAATCTGATATTACAATAAATATAACATCTGGTAGTTCAATTTTAGATTTGAGGAAAACTCTGGTCCTTGTAACATTGCCGGGTCTAGATGTCGATGCTCATAGCGACGTTCTCAGGGTCCAGGTAGGTGTAGGCGGCCTTCCCTTCCGTCTTCAGCTTGTCGTTACGAGTCTGGATCTGCTTGGAGAGTTCCTTGATCTGTGTGTTGAACTTCTGGTGGACCTCAGGGTACACCTCCTTCATGGCCTCAACCTGGGAAATAACATTAACGTCATTAGAAAGATATGCGATTTCAGGGCAGCAAAGCAAAAATATTCTGGACACATGATATGAGGAAATGTTTGGTACATTTACTACTATTTCTTAGCACATTTTCATCATTTCATACTTGAAACGTTTGAAATAGCCAAAAACAAGGTATATTTATTAACGTTATTAAAGGCCAAAGAAGATATGAACTAGTGGTCATAGGCATTGAGTATCGAGACGTGTAGGGCTATATTAAAAGACTCGACGCATTTGTTACTGGCGACTGGTAGTAGCTACTACGTCTTGAAAATTATCTAACAGTATCAAAAATCTGTCCTGTGGCTTGATTAACTGTTAATTTGGTATCTTGCTAGCTGATTACCCATCTTCATCGATTAACTTCACTTAGATTGATTTGGGATTTAAAAAATGACCAGCATAACTGGAGTATGAAGGTAAACTTACCCCAGTGATGGCAGTCTGTGACGGCATGGACAGCATGTAGGACAGGAGAACCTGCAGTCCCGTGAACTGTGGAGGCGGCAGAGTATTGGTGAAAAATACTATACTTACCCTGTAGATACTGGCGGCAGAACTCCTCGTCTTTCTGCCACTCTTCTATCAGCCTCTCGTTAGCAGGAAGGTAGCCGCTGAAGTTGGCCTTCCACGGATCCCAGATGCCCTTGACTTGCGCCAAACGGATCATGATCTGGGCCTAGAAATTACGAGCAGTTGTACACATTTTTACAAAGGAGAAGTCGATTGGGGTGCAAGTCGATTCGTTATTTTCACCCTTCATGTAATGTATGAACCTTTCATAAAAAGGTATGGCATGGGTTTGCATTGCACATATAAAAGCTATGCATCGGTCCACTATATATAGTGCTCGTTTGTAAATAGTACTCATACAGTACTAGAACGTGGATAATGCACGAACCTGTAACTGTTCTTTACTGCATCAAACAAGAAAAACGACAAACACAGAAAGGTCCATTGCAGTATAACTGAGGAACCCCTATTTTCGAACGTGACCCTGGTCTCCTCAACAGTAACTTGCCTACCAAAATCACGGAACATCCATTCCCAGATGTCGTTGGCATCTGAGCTGGAGTCTTCCTTGTGCCCCGAACACGCCACGACGTGATCCCCCATGTGGAGGTAGCGCGGCTCGAGGGGTGTGTAGTTACGAGCAGCGGCACGCTTTCTGTTCCCGTACAAACCAGAACATGCCTCCTTTTTGGGTGTCTTGGCGAACGTATGTTCATACGCATTGTTGGTAGGCTTGGCATCCTTGTGCTTGACTTTCGGATCTTTCTTGTGGGTTTCCACCTCTTCTTTCCCTTTTGGGGGCTTTGGAGCTGCGGTGTAGATGTTGGGTTCGGCCCGGGGAGCTGAGGAGCTGACGTAGGCATCCTTCCCGTTCGGTGACTTTTCTTTCGACTTTGGTTTTTCCTTCGTACCTTCGTCTTCCTTTTCATCCTCCTTTTCTTTTGACCATGGCTCTTTCTCAGTGCCCACGTCTTCCTCTACACCCTCCCCTTTCAGGGACGTTTCTTCCATGAGTGGCTTTTTCTTAGGAGACGACATTTCTGCGTTGGAACATTATGAAAGCGCAGTTAAAGCGTAGGTTTAAAGAAAGGGGCCCGCTCGGCGCGTGTTCGGCCTGGTTTTTTGGCACTACCGAACGAGACCTGGATGGAGACCGGCGGGCTTCCCGACGGCTGCCGGCCTATTTTTGGCCCCGCGCGGTCGCCGAATTGATTTTAACTCAAACTTAAAATCACCCCGAGCCCCGGTGGGAATAGCACGCCGGGACGAAGCCGTAACCTCGAACCCAGCATATATCAGCCAGGGGTGTACCAGCCAGGGACCCGCCAGGATCACTCCTTGGCCCCGACAGAGACCCAAAAGCTGCCCGGCCGAACTGCTAGAGCCGGTTGGCACCCTACTGCACTCCGAACGAGTCAAGACGGTAGACTGACCGGGCACCGGACGGGTCCCTAACATTACCCGGCCGTCAAAGGGATCAAAAGTTGTGAAT